ATAACAGTGGCCAGGATATTAACCTTTAATGTTCCATGGAAAAAAGAAAGTCACATGCGGTTTGATCACCATGAGAAAATGACAACAGAATTTTCTTTTTCCTGTGAATTATCCTTTTAAATTAAACATCATTGCGGTAACTGCCTATTACTGACAGGGTTCGATAGTGCCGCTTAAACCAATTAGCAGTGGCAGAGGAGACAGCGGCAGATAGCTAATGTGTTCAGCGACTAATTCACTTAGACTGGGACGTCAGTCACTTCGTTATCCAGTAAACTTTCAGTGTCATTTGTTCTCAATTGGAGTTGAGCTCCGGGACAATCTCAGTGACTCCCACAACCTGCCCTCATTTGAATAGAGCTGATCTTGGGCTGATGGGCTTCCACGGTCTCTATGGTAACGTGGATGGAGTGTTGAAGGAGGGCCACGGCTCGCTTATCATTCTCTGAAGGGGCTGTATTTCTGCCACTATCGACAGAGACACGAGGCAGATGTGCCAGGCTCTGACTCATGCCACCTGCAATGCTCCAGCAGGTGGAAAAATACCGCATACAGAGGAGGAGATCCAAAATTCTGTTAGACAGAGTCCTACTCCAGACTGGCTTATGACCAATATTGCATTCTGGCAAATATTTGGCAAACATTGCTGCCAAATTACCACATATTAAATGCAGGGCTGTGTGGAATCATTTTTGCAAGTGCTTTAATGAAATGATTTATGGAAGAAGAATGGCAGCCATTATAACTGGGGGGAGCATGACCACACTACCTTTAGATGTTGTTAATTTCACTCCCCCTACACTGTACATTTTTTTTTACCTATATTTCTACCTAATTTAACTGCTAAAATCTTATGTATTCGTTTATTTAGTGATATTAAGTAATATCAGTGATATTAAGTAATATTTTTTACTTTTTAGATAAAAAAAAAAAAACACTTAAGTGTTACCATTTTTTTTCAGTGTACACTTTTTAGGAAGTTTATTTTGCTTGGCTGCCTTGCAGAGAAAAGTCATAAAGTCAGAAAATGATGGAAGCTTGTTTCTGCCACAGGATAAAAAAAAAAATGTAAATGCAATTTTTTTTTTCATCTCACAATTCAGGCTATTTTTTCTTGCAGTTCTAAGTTTATGTCTCACAATTCTGTGTTTTGTTTTTAGAATTGTGAAATATAAAGTCAGAATTGTGAGATATAAACTCAAGAAAGTTGATGACATAAAAAGTCACAATTACCTTTTTTATTTTTAAATCTGTCAGAAAAAAAAACAATTGTGAGATGTAAAGAATTCTGAGGAAAAAAGTCAGAACTGCAAGATTTAAACTCTAGAACTGTGAGATTTTAAGTCAAAATTCAGAGAAAAAAGTCAGAATTGTGACATAACTTGAGAATGGTGAGATTTAAATTTAGAATTACGAGATATAAACTCAGAATTCAGAGAAAAAAAGTCTGAAATGCAGTTACCTTTTTTTTTATGTTGTCGTGAAAAAAACAAACATTCAAATTCATAATTCGGGGGGTGGGGTATCTGAAATGTGCATCTTTTACAAAACTATGAATTTTTTATATTCATGTTGTTGCAACAGTATTACAGGCATTTAAACAAGCTTATGACAACATTTCTGCAGTTACTGGCTTTATTTATTTTTTTGACACTTTAGCTTTTAATTTCATATTTAATTGTATATGAGTATTTCCATGACATCTAGCCGTTTCCCTCACATTTCCTCATGTTAAAATGCCCCTGATGTCTGCTGTCTTTTCAAACACACAGACAAGTTTTATAGATTACATAACAATTAGAGACTCTGATCCACTGTTAAAGGGGAGGCTAAGTGTCTAATTGTTTATGTCCACAGCTCTCGGGGTAAAAGCAATTAGAGTAAATGAGGCATAATGGTGTCGCAGCAGGCAAGAGTGCCAGTTGCTCATTTAGGCTATGTTCTCACCTCTGGACCGCCCTGATCCCCTGTCAAACTACATATGTCCCCCACTGCATGCTACACAGTTCTCATTTAGCTGTCCTCATGTCATTTACTTTTGCTTACTCTACATTGCAATTTACATTACTGTTAAATGTAAACTCACTGTGTTTCCTCTACACTCGTTATTTTATCCACACTTAACGCAGCATTAGGAAAATTCAAAGGTACTGTCCACCTTTTCTGTTATACCTTGACTTTGTTTTTGGTAACACTTTTTAATAAATGAATGAACAATCATTACATTTCTGTATTGTTTAACAGGACAGTCATGCATGTATGTTTAAATATAAAAACTCTACCATTCAAAAGTTTGTGGTCAGGTTTGTTTATTTATTTATTTATTGAAGAAGAAGAAGAAGAAGAAAGTATATATTTATTAAGCAAGGATGCATTAAATAAATCAAAAATGACCGTAAAAAAACATTTATAATGTTACAAAAGATTTCTATTTTAATATTACAAAAATATTATATATTTTAATATTATTACAAAAATAATATGTCAAAAATATTAAGCAGCATGACTGTTTTTCTGAGCAGCAAATCAGCATATTAGAATGATTTGTGAAGGATTATGTGACACTGAAGACTGGAGTAATGATGCTGAAAATTCAGCTTTGCATCACAGGAATAAATCACATTTGGAAACAATAAAATTGAAAACAATTATTTTAAATTGTAATAATATTTCACAATGTTACTGTTTCTACTTTATTTTTGATCAAATAATGCAGTCTTGGTGAGCATAAAAGACTTCTTTCATAAACATAAAAAAAAAATACCAACACTAAACTTTTGAACAGTAATGTGTATTAATCAAAATTTGAATCCAAATCATATTCTATTGTCTAATTATATCTTGTTACAATCACAATTGATTGTAATGATGCAAGTTACTATAAAGTTTGTTTAACCCTCTGACCCATGAATTATTAAATGACAAAAACATTTTCTTTTTAAAAGGAAAAAACAAAACAATCTTTTTATAATATAATCATAATTTAGAGAGTTACACATTTGGCCTCTCTTTCAAATGACCTTCACCACTTTTGTCAGCCTTTTTGAAATTGTAATATTACATCATAAATAAAAAGTACGTGACATGTAGAGAGCAGTCATATAAAATGATGGGTAATGGTCAAGGATAATCACCCAAGGTGGCAAGTTGGCATCATGCATCAGAGGGTTAACATTCCTGTAAAGTCACAAAATCTAGATGTTGTGTTTTCTGTAGTGGTTGTGATTGATGGTTTGTGGGTCTTTATGTGGGCAGTGTGGGTGTCAGAGTCATGGACACGTCGTGGGTGAAGGGCAAAAGTTCCTCTACACTGGCCCGCAAAGCTTCATCCACGCCTCCACAAGTGCCCGGCTCTCCTGCGGACACCCTGATCACTGAGCAGCCCGGTGAGCTGGCCACATCTCCAATCCCCACTCCCCCTCCTGGAGACAGGGGCAGGTAAAAACAACAACACATGATTCCCATCATCCTCTACCTGTTTTCCACTGTCATTTCAATGTACTGTATGCGTATTCCACAGCAGAACTGGTTGCATTAACTAACTTGTGACCTCATTGTTTTCCATTCAGCAATTACCTCTTTTGCTTTCCCTGCATTTGTGTATTAATGACATAATTTCCTCTGCTCTTCTATGCTTACCTTGTTCTTTACCTATAAAAGTCTTTATCTATAATTAGAAGTGTTTTATTTTTATTTTTACGTACAGTAGTGCAGTCAGTATGGCCGTGTACACACTGCAGATAAATACAGTTGCCTCTTTTGAGTTCTTCATCCTGTTTTGTACACACAGACTTCAGTTGTGTGACATCCGCATTCTGCAACAAAAATGAACTGCATTTACATTAAACAAATCCAAACTCAACAGCTAGTTCTTGCAATGTAATTAAAAGCCCATGCGAGTCTCTCTTCTCCTGATGCGAGGCAAGAAGATCTCAGGGGAAGAGGGACACGAATGATCGAATGTTTGGGGTCAGTAAGACTTTTTAATTTTTGTATCATAGTTTCCACAAAAATATTAAGCAGCACAGCTGTTTCAATATTGATGGTTATAAGAAATGAGCAGGAAATCAGCATATTAGCAAAGATGGGAAGGTTACTTGGGAAATGTAATAGGCTACAGATTACAAGTTACATTATTAAGTAGTTTAACTATTTCAATTACTTTTTAAAGTAATGCAACTAATTACATTTGATTACTTTTTCTAACAAATGTTTTCAACTGTTAATCATTTTCAAACGTAAGCCAGGCAGGGTTAATATTACAGTAGTACTCATCACTGATTACTGTCAGACAGCTGCTGAAAATCCAGCTTTGCATCAAATGAATATATTACATTTTATTTATTATTTATTACATTTACACTTTATTATTATCTTAAAATAGATGACGCTTATATTGTTTCTTTGGCATGTTTCTAATTTGCAATTTCAGGAGTGACTCCTGTACTCTGTTCACACCCAGAACGATAACTTAGAGGATTCACTACCAGATTTGAATGCCATTGTTGATGCTTTTGCAGTGTGTACAGGCCTATATGATCATTTAGTGTGGTTAAACCATCACAGTTTGGTAGGATTGGTCTTGCTGTGGCTTTCCATTCATTCAATTTCACTAATAATCAACCCATAAGCCCATATGCAAATCATACATTAATGAAGCCAAGGTCATGCCATGGTTCAGTCATTGTATTTAGGGTTTGCAATGGCTGATGATTTGACTGGCTTACCTCCCACCCTCTGACACTCTTTCAGGCAATGAAAGGGTTTTTGTGTCTGTGTTTAACTGCTCTGGGTTTTCACCATATTTAGAGACCTTGGTTTCAGTGCCATCCTCTTCTTCCTCTTCCTCCTCCTCCTCACTCGATATCAACTCCAACCCCAAGCCTAGCTGCCTGCACTTTCTCAAACACGGGCCCCTGTGTGACGCGCCGCATGCTGCTCCGCCTGACGCCAATGCCTCGCCCCTCTACATTAAAACCCCTCTCGTGCTGACCCGCCATGACATGTCCCTCGGAAACCCCCCTAGCCTCCCCTCCTCCGCACCCCCACCGTGGGCTGCCTGTCCATAGAGACCTTGGTTTCAGTGCTTAGCTCTTGTACAGTATATTCACCAAACTCTCTCTGATGTTTGGTTGTTCAAAGAGATTTTTTCTTTCCTCGGTGCAGTGCGCAGACACAAGGTCATTTTCAGTGTAATTTTCTGTTTTCTTTTTTAATTTTAATGCATTGCTGTGCTTTTCCTGCCAGTGGAGTCGGATGGTGCCTCTTTTTCGTTGCTAAGCTTGCTGTTTGCTAGACCTGTTGCTCATTGCCGCACGCTAAACTGGCTAAATGCTCATACCAGCTTGAGACAAACATGCAGACCAAAGGATCCTGAGAGTATTATCAATATTGTATAATGCTAGCGAGCCACAGCTGGAGCTAAACATCCACTTTCCTGTTGCGCTGTCATGCGTGTCCCCTAGCCTCCCCTCCTCCGCACCCCCACCGTGGGCTGCCTGTCCATGTGCCCGCGAGAGAGGACCCCCCAGGCTGACTAGGTAAATACCACCTGCCTGCGGCCACCCCGCCTTCGCAAAACACATTGTGACGGCCATCAGGGCTCCCCACACTGTCTGAGCGCTCACCTCAGATCACTCCATACTGGCTCTCACTTTTCCATCTTGTTTTTGGAACTTGCTTTGTAATGTTATTGCTTTTTCAGTCCCATCACGCAGATTCCGTAACATTCTCATTGTCTGGGAAAGCCTGAGGTTGCCTAGCAACTGAGGATGTTACTGGCGTTTAGTGAAAGTGGATGCTTCAAGTAGAAATCAGTGCTGTCATTGAGAGAGGTTTATAGTTTTAATATTTTGAATCATTTCATATTTTCTGTTTTTATTTTAATTTTAGCTCAAATTTGAGTAATTTTGTTTTGTTTTTAGTAGTTATTTTAATTTGTCTATTTATTTTTATTTCAGTTTTAGCTGTTTTAGTACATCAAGTTAAACTAAATTAAAACATTGCCTTGGCAGCTAGCTGAAATTGTATTGAATTTCAGTTAACATTTATTTTATTTCAACTAACATTTTTAATGGTTTTAGTTCCAGTTTTAGTTTATAACTATAATAACCCTGGTAGAAATAAATACATTGATGGAGCTGCATATGATGACATGAATGTATTATGCTTATGAATGTATTGATTGTGACATTGAGTCATGAGTTGTGTTTGCTCACTGGGATAGTCATACTTGATGTGCATGAACATTAACACCAGCTCTGTTCCAAAACCTAATGAGCTGCCCACCTAGGCGTCTATTTTAGGCATCATAGGCGCTCTTCCAACACAAAGACTCCTCCAAACAATAGGAAACAGATTTATTCTGGCCTTATGTGATAGCTTTGGAAAATAGAAATTTAAGGACTTCCCAAAATCAATTGCAATGATATAATCTGATTGTCACTTACATTTCCTCGGTTCTTAGAAAGTCTAAGTCATCTAAGTAAAATGCATATATTCTGTAAATGTTTGACACTATAGAGTACTGAAGTGATTAGTATTTTTGTCTAATCACTAGTATTTTTGGGCCAACTTGTGGGTTCGCGTCATCCTGGTTAACCTCACCAAAACCCCAATAGGGTTTTTCTGTTGGCTTTGGATTATTGCAGAAAAAGAAAGAAAGTTAGGTTAGGATGGGACATATCGAAGGGCTTGTTATGAATAGCCAAAAGGCTTTAGCTTGTCTATCTTCATCTTAAGCCCAATGTAGACTTCAGTTTTTCTAGTGCGCATGTGCACGCTATCAAATGAAGTTTAGTATACTAAGGCTATGTGTTTGGCTTTACGCATACGCTAAGCATTTGCATCATAATTATACGTTAGGCTTTAGCTGGGAACCATGATAAGCTACTCCCTGTGGCTAGCCAGAAATAGATGGTTTTAAAAGGAAAGATGTTCTTGTTCTAGAGAGCAATTAATTGGACAAACATTTGGATAGTGCAGGTCAATATTTTAAGTCCCTTACTTCGTTTTCCCTATAGACAAAACAATTTTAAATGTGTATCTACTTAAAGTTTGTTAACTTTTAGGAGTACACTAACATATGTAAAGTAGGGCTGTCAAAATGACTGAAAAACTAAATTCGAATTTTCTACTTAAATATTAAAAAAATGTAAAAGACAATTTCAATTAGGGGGAAAAAAGCTTTTGGCTTCTCTCCTGAGGCCACAAGAGGGCGCATCGAGCAAAATATTATGCACGTTTCTTCAAAGCATAATAAAATAACACGACTTTCTTTGAAAAAAAGTGCATGATGTTTAAAATAATGTTTATAAATGATATATAATTAAAAAAGTTGCTTAAACAATTAGAAAAAAAAACAGCACCATGCATGTATGTATATTTTAATACAAAGGACAGAAAACCAATCACAAAGATACCTACCTACTTTCTTCATTTAAAAACATGAGATACAGTGGGATGGGGAAAAACCTAAAACGTCTTTAGACATGTTTTTTAAAAGTTGAACTTGAATTAATTTTACATGGCTTTCTAAACATGCCGCTCTCTTGTGCGAGACGCGAGTTCAACGCTGATAGATGACCCTCTAGAAAATGAGATAAATATGCATTCTGTGTGAACGGCTTGGTTTCAGTTTTGACGTAAACAACATCTTCTCCACACTAATGCTCTCGTTTTCCGCAATATATTGAATGAACAACGTAGCAGCACCGCATCCAGTGGGTTCAACTGGATAGGCTAACAAAAGCATTAAAATGCAATCAATGACACATACATCGTCATCGCATCTCGTGCGCCACTGATAAGGCTGCCTGACGGCTGACGCAGACCTAAAATTCGAATGCAAGGTTTTTGCATTCGAATGTGGATTTGTTTTTTAAATTCGACGAATATTCGAAATTCGAATTTTTTTTGACAGCCATAGTGACCGCATCTTAATAGACATGGACTAAAAACCACAAACTATAATTTAATTGGTTTACAGAGCTAGTGCCCATGAATAGCATTTCTGTCAGGACCACTATCGTCAAAGATGATTGACAATTAGCATGCAGTTTGGATTGGCGGTATGGTTCCGTTCTGGGCAAGAAACTTACGCTTGATTTCAGATCAGTCACTTCTAATGTTCATTTCAGTTACAATGCTGTCTTAGTAGGTAGCTGCTGACAACAAGGGCAGCTCACTAGATTTTGGAACAAAGCAAGAGACATCTCGAGCCACATAAAATATAATCGTTTAAACAAGATTAAAGTCTTCCCTACTTAACAGCCATCTGTATTTGAGAACTCTAAAGCCAAACGCACTGGTAAATGGTCATAAGGCTGAAACAATTACCAAAATCAAATTAGAAATCAGATGTTTCACAGCAATGTAGGCCATACATTTAATTGAGGTGGGAATTGTGTATACGAATGCTCTTTTTTTTGGATCATCAGTCTCCCGGGTTGTTTGAAAGGTTGCAGGAATGTCAGTGGAATTACATGAATTTCCATCGCTTGCTGCACATGCAGACACCATCAGTGCAATAGAGATCAATCTAAGATCTTTATTAGGAGTGCTAAGCATCAGTAGAGCCAGTGTTAGCCATTTTACCAATGATGTTGACTGTTTATTGCAATGGCACGGGATCCCCTCCACATCTACCCTCATGAGCTTTCATTCAAAAGTCGCAGGGAACTGCAGAGATTGAGTCATAGATGTGACGGATTCATTCCAAACGTGGTCACATAGATGCAGATATTGCAGAATCATTCTCTGCATGTCTGCACGGATATAGATGTAGAGGACTCATGTGTCCATGTGTGCACATAGATTTATCTTCCCCAGAGTTTAGCAGAGAGGCGCCTGAATAGAGCTGTCAGAGTGAAAAACAAGCTCCACATGCTCAGTTATATTAAAGATACATGCTGCGTGTGTGTGTGTGTTTGCTGGGCAAGGACACTCAATCCCCCTCCTGCTGACGTGCATGAGAAACACTCTGTGTAAATCCACCTTCACATGTCTTTGAAAAAAATCACTTCACACCCACATGCAAGCAGATTTTAGTTGTGGATGTTTAAGCAAAAACAAAAATATAGCATCGATTTTGTCACAGTTCTGTTTACGTTCTTGTAGCTCATCTGGTAAAGCATGACACCAGCAACTCAAAGGTCATGGGTTCAATTCCCATGTCAGTTAAGTCAATAATGTTATGTCATGGTGCATTCAGACACAATCAAAACCAGCAGGACGTTTCTTAGCACTTAAGTCGCTGTTTTTAGTTTAGTTGACGGGGGAGGTGAGAGGTCCTTGCACGTTATTAGTCATTAAGGATACGGTGGGTGCAGATTGATGGCAGGCAGTCATGTTTGTCTCTCTCTCCAGCACTCTGAAGAGCAAGGAGCTCTCTCCTGTGATTGGCCACAAGTCTGTGCAGGTGTCAGGAGCAACAGTGCCCCCTGTCAGCGGTCAGCAGAGCAACAGCCAGTCTCCTCACTCTGCCGAGCACAGCCCCCACACCTTACACAAAGGTTCGTCCCACTGGGATTCCTCTTTAATTCTGTTTTTTTTTATTTTTTTTTATTCAATCTACAGATAAAATCCTCTTTAAATCTGGTATAATGTCTGCCTTGGGTGATCAGATCAGTATGCATCTGGTTATAACACGTGTTTCTGATTCTGTCAAGGTGATTTTGTGACACATCACTTACTACATCAGTATGTGCTGTGTAATTCTTTGTATTGTACTGTGAAGCATTGTGCATGTGGATATAGGTGGACTTTTTACAAATTTTACAATGGGATGGTTATTTTAGTTAGTAAAATGATTGTTTTCGCTTTAGTTTTCTCAAAATATGCATTTGAAATCACCTCATTTTCCAATGATTTTTAAAGGGGTCATATGATGCGATTTCAATTTTTCCTTTCTCTTTGGAGTGTTACAAGCTCTTGGTGCATAAAGAAGATCTGTAAAGTTGCGAAGACTAAAGTCTCAAATCCAAAGAGATATTCTTTATAAAAGTTAAGAGTCAGCCACTCCTACCTAAAACGGCTCGTTCTAACACGCCCCCACATACCTACGTCACTATCTGGGAAGATTTGCATAACGCCGCCCAAATGTTCACGCAAAGAAAGAAGGCGTAACTTTTATTCTCGCTGTAGTATTGTTGTGGCCGCCATGTCGTGAAGGCGCTGTGTTTCGTTGTGAAAGCGAAACTACTTTGTTTGGCCTTCCAAAAGAGGACGATATCTGCTTCGTAATGCCTGGAGCTGATCCGTGCTGGTTGCTGAGGAAATACAACAATTTTGCGCTGTGGATTGCTGGATCGGCTTTCACCGTGGACGAAGCGGAGTACAGCCCGAGGTCGTGACATGTGGTTGCCGCAAGCCTCCTTCGTCGAATCCGCCGGCCGTGCCGTTCTCAAGCCAGCCACCTCTGCTCACTCTAGCCCTCCGGCTGTTCCTCACTCTAGCCCCCGGCCTCTGCTGCGCTGTGTGCTTCGTTGTGAAAGCGAAACTACTTTGTTTGGCCTTCCGATGAGCTTTGTAAAAATCGACGCGTTTCAGAAAGGCGGGGCATAGAGGAGAAACAATAATGTACAGTATGTGGAAAATAATGTGTTTTTTGAACCTTAAACCACATAAACACATTTCATTGCACCACATACACAAAATAATGTTCTTTTTAGCAACATCATATGACCCCTTTAAACGATTCATTCAAAGCAGTTCTAAGACTCAGTCTTTCTAAACCCCTCCTTTCCCCTCCTTTTCTTTTGGGAGACAATAACTTTATTTATCGTGCACTTGTGGCTTTACAACTTTTCAGATTGTTTACATTCACATACAGCTACATTACACACTGCATGAAAGGCAATATTCGAAATGGCATAATAGGGGAACTTTAATTTCTGAATTCAATTTCATTTGATGTGTTTTGGGGGCCATAAACAAAGTCAGGGTGATATAATTGTCTTGATAAAATGAAGAAAAATGCCTCATTAAAATAATGCAATTCTTGAAAGAAAACCTTAGTAGTTTGAAAAAAAATTATAATTCTTGGAAAAAGAGTATTTTTAACAAAACTGTTTAATTTACTGTATACATTTAAGGACAATTATTTAAGATATCAAGTCTTGTTTTCTGAAAGGTGTATCAATATTAAGTAAATTGATGTGTAAAACAAAAATAAATACCTGTCAGAGGGTTAAGAAAAACAAACTGAATTCAAAGAGAAAACAAGATGATTGTTCATACCCCACTGACAGATATTTTTTCTTGTTTTAAGCATAAGCTCAATTAATACAATACAATTAAAACAATTGTTGATACATTTTTTCAGTAAACAATACTTAATATCTAAAGTCATACTGAAGAAAATCTTTTTTTTCCAGTGTTCAGGTTGTAAAATGTCTCCCCCAAAACCTAATTATATACATGATGTAACAATTCATTTAATATTAAAAAATACTTATTTCTTTTGAAGTGTATATTTAAAAACAAATAAATAAAAATAATAATGATTTAGATGTGCACACTCCCATGCATTCAAGGTGTAAGGAAAATATTATAACATTTATTTTTAGTTTAAATTAAAGTCATTAAATGTAAAGAAATTCCCAAGATGCATTGCACCCAATTTTCACCTTAACACTTTCTATCTGTGATCTGATCACTCGAAACTAATGTTAATACCAGGTGTAAACAGGATCGTAGTGTAAAGGTTACTTGCATGCATTTTTGATTTTGTCTTATCTTTCTCTTCTTACAGCCTCTAAGAAACTGGCCCCTGTGCCGCCCAAGGTTCCCTACGGCCAGTCGGGGGGGATATCAGACCAATCCACAGGTCAGCCGTCTCCGGTTAGCCTGTCCCCCACTCCCCCAAGTACCCCCTCCCCATACAGTTTGGGCTGTCCCCCTGGACACGCGCCCACCTCTTCCCCTGGCCAGACCCCATTAGGGGGACCCCATACGTTGTCCTCGCCGCCCTCTCTGACTGGTACGCTTACAAAGTCCCGACCCACCCCAAAGCCCAGGCAGAGACCCAGTCTACCCCCTCCCCAGCCACCCACCGTCCCCTCTACAGCCCCCCAGCCCCTGGAGCAGGGTCTACTTGACGGATTGTCCCCCGGGGAGAGCATGTCCACAGGTAAACATGCCACAGTGGCAACATCACAAGTGGGAGTCCAGCGTACCTCTCTCAAACTGTCTGTCTCTCCGTCCTACGCAGGCGGTGGACTTTAAGGAGCCAGATCCCCATATGAAATGTGAAGACATTTGTTTGTCTTAAATATGGAGTGCCCATAGATTCAGTTGCCTTTGAGATGTATACTATGATTATTTTTGAATCCCCAGGATTATATTTTAGCTCTACGATTTTAAGAACAAATGGAAACAAAGGGAATTCATTTTAAGCACAGGGACATACTGTATATATCTTACTACAAAGTGAAGTGTGTAATTTTTGCACGACCAATTGAATTGTAAAAATAATGACTTTCCATACAGAGTTTCCACCGACTCTTCTGCTCCACCACAAACAGGTAGTCTTGCACCAGTTTCATGCCATTACTTGAGCCAGAAGTTGTTGGACGTGTTGGACCGCTCAAACGAAGCAAGCAGTGTTTGAAAAGTGCCACTGAGTTTACACTCTTTAGGTTGTAAAAAAGGGTAAAAATTGGCAAGCACTTGCTGAAAATCGTTGACTGTTAGATTGGTCAGCTTTACATTGAACTTTCAGGGACTGAAGGTGCGATCATATTTATTGTGGTTCAGTGAATTTTCACAGGCGAAATCCAGTCTTTTTATAAGGATTCAGATTTCATAAAGAGCCGAGAACTTGATGAAAATCATCAACTCCAATTTGATTGATTAGCTTTACTTTCAACTTTTAGGGGTGCAGGTGCAGTCACATTTACAGACCTGCTAACCTTGGAAAAATGTTTTGACTACAATCAATGTGATGTGGGGGTCAGGGGTGTCATATATTCTTAGATAGCTACAATATTACCTGAAGCTCCTTGATGGCTAATGTCAAAATTGTAATTGCACAGTGTGCAAAATTCAAGATTTAATATTAAATATTTTCGAAAGGTTAGAAGGTCTGTACTCAGTCAGACACATCTTTGTGCTATTCCTGTTATACAGTATTTCAGAGTAAAAAGTAGGGATGCAACAATACAGTTAGCCCACGGTTCAATACATACCTCGGTTTTTTTAACCACGGTTTTCAGCTTGGCACATCAAGAGTATTTTTTTATTTTAAAATGCTCTTTAGAAAAAAAAAAAAACTCCAGTACAATTTAATTAAATCTCCAGTACATATTCTGTACACTGTGGAAAAACATGGATTACCATATGTCTACTTCAAATTTATTTTAATAGAAGTATTATTTTTATGGATTGGCCATTTTTAGTGCTATAAACACATGTAATGTCTGTTTAATTTATACTGGATGCCAGAGGGTGCCCTCACGCAGAAAATCCACATACGTGTCACAGAATAGAACTCATGGCGCTCCAGAATTCATGTCAGAATTCGCCCCTCGTGAGGGTATCGCACAGCTGAAGCATAACTACGAACCGACTGCCCTAAACTCAGTGCTTTCAAAGACTATAGAAATACAAAGATGGTTCACTCCTATACTTATGAATGGGAGAAACTGCAACACGCAATATGGCGGAATATTTCCCGCCTTCTAAATGAAAGAGTCATTGCGTCACTGCAGCAGCCATTAGAAGCTCTGGTTTCCATAGAAACCTGCAGCTAGACCAGTCAATGCACATGCGCAGTCATAAGCACGTTGGCTGGTCTAGCCTGAAAATAAGCTTTTTTTAACGCTATTTGAGCATAAGAAACAACATTCATGGGGCAGTTAATTTCAGATTTTGTTGCTGATTTGAGATATGTCATTTATTTCTGAGTTCATAGGGCAGTTTTTGAGATTTCATTCATTTAGATAGGACTTGGTCTTGGATGAGCTGCCCGGAGGCGTTGCAAATATGGCTGCCGAGTGAACAGACTTTCCTTGAAAGGGACTTTGGTGCTTTTTCCCTCACTGCACCTGCTTGAGAACAGAAATGAAACCATGGTAACATGGCATGTGATATGGACAGAAGCGATGGAGGCTACACAGTTCCGGGTTCAGGGGGTCCCACGTGTTTATTTCACACGTATATTGTGAGCAGTCAAGTTGCATCTCGACAAACGGACCGTATAGTGTGAGCACATAAATCCTGAGCTTTGGCTTGACATCGCATGCAATTTACTCGTACAGTGAGAGTTGGTATTTAACAAAAACTTTACTGAAATCACAGAGTGTATGCCTGGCCATAATATGGATAAAAGCATCCAGCTATCTCTAGCTGAATAAAAAGATAGAAACGCATTGAATGATGAAACCTGAAGACAATAAACACACGACTGCAACATTATATAGTTTATCTGTGTTCTTCAAGCCTTCTCGGGCATTTTTATAATAATTATGTACATTTATAATTCATTGCTAATCGACATAGCCGTTTTTAGTTAGAATAGTTATGCCTCATTTTGTAATAAAAAGCTACATCAGATCACAAAAGGACGTTCTTTCAATTTGTCAGTCATCCACATTTGCTATTTGGGGATTGAACCCCGTGCTATGATTGGTCGAACTCTTCTTTTGCAGGTGCTTAGTTTAGAGTGACAAATCATACCAGCGTACTTTGAGGTCAGAATGCGTACCCGCTACGCAAAATGCGTACAGGTTGGCAGGTCTGTATTTACCATTGTTCAGCGAAATTTCACTGGGCAAAATCCAGTCGTTTCAATAGGAATCCAGGCGAGAGATATCCATACATAGATTTCGCAGGTTACGCGGAAAAAACTTCAAATTGTTGGGTAGCTTTGCTTTTAACTTTCAGGAGTACAAGTGTGGATGTTTTTAGGTGTACTTTGGCTGGGAGAAATCCAGTCGTTTCTATAGGAATCCATGCCATCAGGAATCACACATGAGGGTGAAAGCTTTTCCCACACAGATTTCGTAAGGGATTCAAATTTGTTACTGAAAAAACTAGCAAGCACTTGCTGAAAATCATCAAAACCAATTTGATTTGCTAACTTCACATTCAACTTTCAGGACTGAAGGTGCAGTCACATTTACCATTGTTCTTCAAGTTTTCTCATAAAGTTGCCCCAAACGACAAAATATAAACAAAATGAACTTTGGTTGGTCGTGTTACAAACAGACATTATGCCACAAGTCAAAGGTCTGGCAACATGAGACTGACCTAGAATGAAGCATTTTAACATGCAAAGAATTACACACTTCATCTTTAAAGTTCAGTATAAGGCCTTATTATCTTCTCAGCTTCAGTGTGAGAATGTTTCTCTAAAGTAAGGCTCTGTGGTCTTTGTATCATTCTAGTGGCCCACTGTATGGCACTGATTGTATGTTCTCTCATGTGAGGCGTGTCTGTCAGTCATTCTCCTGAGCACTGATTGATGTATGACTCTTTTATCCCCTGTCATCATTGTGCACCTTGCAGCTGTGTGAGGCCAGGGACTGAGTGTGGGCTGAGTGTGAGGGGGACATTTAGGGTAAGCCAGAACCTGCTGTGACCGTGCCATAGCCTCATCTCACACCGTCTGGCCTGGTGCTGTGGCTGAATCTGGGGCCTCTACCGCAGCCATGCTCTCTGTCTCATACCGTAACACTTCCTTCTCCGGCTCTGTCATTCTCTCCCAGTCGCGGGGCTGTCCTTGGCTTCTTCATTCTGTCAGTGTAGTCTGTGCATGGTGTGAGACTGGTCTATGCATGGCTTATGGCCTTTCTTTTCCGAGCAACATCACACATTTGCCAACGTCGTCGCTTACGAAGTTCATCTCAATGCCTCCGGCCCTGACCTCACATCGTGATCCATTCCCCCTCCCAATATCCCCACCACCACGAAGGTGGGCCCAGGTAAACCCCAACCAAACTCTCTTTCAGTCGAGTCCATCTCAGGACAACAGTACAACTCTCCGCCCCCCACAGTCGTCCATCCGCGTCCATCTCATTCTTACACAGGGGAGGTCATCACAATCAGATACAGTCCACCAATCCACATAGTCCACTGACAAGGTTCTTAATGTTACCACATCTTCAATTTGCACCCATCTTGTTGTCTATGTGTGGAGTATTTTGTTCATTGTGGTCAGTGTTGGGGGTAACATGTTACAAGTAACATGCGTTACAAGTAACGTAATGTTATGTGCCAAGTATTTCTTGTCGAGTATCAAGTAAAGTAATGTGTTACTTTTTACATTTACTCTGCGGTACTTTTTCAAACATGTAACACATGTTAAATCAAATTTAAAGGCAAAAAAAAGGCAAATCATGTCGGGGACAAATACTTTTTCACAGCAAAATTGCCTAAAAATATCTACAAGCCAAGCAGGAAACCGCCATTCTAGAAGGCCGAGAGCCTTGGCTACTAGACGCCATACAATAGTATCACGTTACTTTCCATAAAAGGTAGCAATGTAATCGAATTAGCTACTTTTTTAGGAGCATGGTACATGTAACGCATTACTTTTTGAAGTAACATTCCCCAGTGCTGATTGTGGTGAACTGTTGATTCTATTGTTGTTACTTTATGAAAAACTGCAAAAAGCTTTATATAGAACTTTATATTTTATATGAGCATAGCAGAGATTTTGCAGGACAGGCTTCATTTCCTCCCCAATAGCTCAGTGTAACAGAATCCCTGTGCAGAATGCCAGGAAACAGTCTGATGTGCCCCTCTCCTGCTGCAACACACATTCAACACCCTTCGCTGACTTTGCCTCTAACAGTGGTCTGGCAACTGAAATTGCTTTTTGCTTTCTCTCTCCTTGTGTCGTTTTCAATATCCTCATCATCGCCATTTCCATCATTTCTCTCTGTACTGTAAACTTGTCTTGTCGCTTCACTTTCGTGGCCATCGCTCTCATTTCCCATGATCCTGTAGCAGATTTCTTCAGTTTGGAAATTCCCTCCATCAACGTCAATCTGGACAGCCTGTTGGACGAGTTCAGGGTGGTCCCATGCCGGAGCTCCTTTGCTGCGGTCAGCTCTCCAGAGGGGGAGTCCGTGTCCGAGGAGGAGGGCCAAAGCACCACGCTATGACCCCTGAGCCCACCCAGCAGCATGCCAGCTTCACATAGAACCCATCCACTCCTGCTGAGGCCCAACTGGAACCTCACCTTGACCAAACCCAGAGTCACGGATACTACATGAGAGACTCGATAAGATGCCAACCACACAACAGGTGCCACAAAAAAAAATAAATAATTGGATTTCGTTCAAATTGGCACCGGAGGAACCTGGAGTTTTGTGTTACGATTCCTGTTTCTCTCTGAACGATTCTGTCTGTTTCTTTTTTGTTGTCATGTTGTTGGTTTTGTTTGATTGGGATGTTTTTATTTCTGCCTTATTAGAGCTGCAATTACAATACAATGCACATAGGGAGCCGTCTGCTGACTCTAAAGGAACCTCATACACTTTGTCTTGCTGGAGGCTTTGAACTGAGACGCACCCTCATGGTATGAGAGTAGGCCGTCTTTTGTTTGTTACAGGGTCCATGCCATGCTCTTTATAGATGACTTGGTGGCATATAGCATGACTAATTTTGCAATGCTTCTTTCTTCTTTCTTTCTTTCTCAATCTCTCTAACCTACACTAATCACTGCTTTAGCAATCCAATCCAGTTGACCTTTCGCTAAGTCCCGCCTTTAAAGTGCTCCTGACCAATCCGGCCTGTTGCCGCCTGTTATATTATCAGACAAGTGCTTATTTCTAATGTGAATTTCTAGTGTTTTTAAATAATTTCGCAAAATTACATTTAAAACTATCTGAGAATAAATTAAAGTAGAGCACAGCGCTAGCAATGCAAAGGTCATGGGTTTGAGTCCCAGGGAGAGCAATAAAATGTAAATGTGGCCTAATGGTTAGAGAGTCTGACTTGTAACCCAAAGGTCGCGGGTTAGAGTCTCAGGTCCGGCAGGGATTGTCGGTGGGGGGAGTGAATGACCAGCACTCTCTTCACCCTCAATACCACGACTGAGTTGAGACCATTGAGCAAGGCGCCGAACCCCCAACTGCTCCCCGGGTGCCACAGCAATATGGCTGCCCACTGCTCCGGGTGTGTGTTCACAGTGTGTGTGTGTGTTTGTTCACTTCTCACTGCTGTGTGTGTGAACGTGGATGGGTGAAATGCAGAGCACAAATTCCAAGTATGGGTCACCATACGTGTCCACACATCACGTCCTTTCCTTTTCCAAAGTTGGGAAGTGCATGTGGTGAATTGAATAATGTGTCCTGAACATGTAGAACAGTAAACTGAAATGTCCAATTCATTCCTAAGGGGGATACAGTTGAGTTTGTCTGAGTGAGCGGGGCTTAGCAGATAGTTAAGAGAGTTTTGATTGATATGTGCATTCATCTGTGGCAGAACATTATCAGAACTTTCTGAAACGCACATAATACAGTAATAGAAAAACAGTGACAACTGCTGTACCAAAGTGTATTTTCTTAAAGAGCCAGTACTATATAGTACAGTACATGAAAGCAAGGTAGGAAATCCAGGGTTCTCACAGTCAAATATCAGGGAATTTTAATAGCGTCATGGAAAATGTTTAAATCCCTCTATAACAAATCATGGAATTTTCTATAGTCTGTATATTTTTTCAGTTCTGAAGTGTTTCTTCTTCGTGAGAATTTGCGATCTCTATTAAATGATATTTCAAAATCCTTATCCTGGAAAACCGTTAATGGAAATGCATTGGTCATAAGGTGTGGGAACCCTGGAAATCGAGGTCACTGCAAACACTTTTCTGCAAATGCATCATAAATTACTTTTGGCAGCCACTACTGAGATCAACCACTGGTTCTGTTCTGATGCACTGCCTTGCATTCTCTGTTGTCTTTTTGCACTCATATGCCCTCCAAAGTGCTTCGAACGCAGTGCCACACTATCCCTTCTGTATATACCAATACTGTATATAAAGATGTGTAGATAAGTGTCAACGAGAGGACAAACGTAAAGGCAAATATGAATTATATATTCATAAATGTGACATGCCATATTTATCTTGTATAGAAATAATGTTCTAAGTATTATTTTGTCAGGTTCACATAGCAAGCGAGTTTTTTGCACTTTTGTAAGCCATGAACTAGATGTAGAAATATGAATGCAGACCTGGCAGAAGTTTAGGTTGAGTTATTCCCAAGAGAGATTTTATCCCTAAACCGACCTCATCAATAACAGCCTTAATCAACAACACAAACTGTATAGCTACTTATTATTATTATTAGAAAATATATGAAGTCATCGACAGATTACACTAATTGTACAACATCGGTTCAGTCGTGGTATTGTATAGAAACTGGTAGATTATATAAATGAAAATACAATGGCCCCAAAAAGTTGTGATGTGTGGAATCTGCAAAATAACGATATTAGATCTTCTCTCAGAACTAACTAATCTACCTTTCAATTACTTTTAGTCAACTGCTGTGGCAGTGATTTTTAGTGGATGTATGAGGTTATTTCCTCACTGATGTCATTCATCACATGAACTATCAACATGTGTCCACATACTTTTTAGGGCCACTGTATAGCATATGAAATCAATGAAAAAAATACTGATTTTATAACTTGGCAGGGATCCTTGCGAAATGTCGTCTCAAAGATATCAGGCCCTAAAGATCCTTTAAAAAGTCTCATTGCTTTTCCCCAGACACATTATCTGATGCCACACTGAGATGGCACACGTCTGGCCATTTGTTTCATGGGTAGACAACACTACGAGACTACTGGATGCTGCAATTTCTCTTGTCTGAACTTGTACAAAAAGCGCAGGACTTTATTAAGGTCAAATAAACATTAGCTCACTTCTGTCCCGTGGAAGGAATGGGCACAACGAACTGCCTCCGTTCTCATACGAAGGACTCTACTTCCAACGGTGGATAGCCATGGCTTGATTTTCTCTCTTTGAATAAGCATTAGTGTACGTCAGGGACAAAAGGACTTTTTTTTTTTTTTTGCTGAAACCTGTGATATGCCTCAGTGTGTGTTCTTGATGAAATATAGTCTAATGATTATTGGTGACTGAGTTATAGTTGTAGTGATTACACAATGATAATTGCAAGTGCCCTCACATTCAGTATTTATAACCTGACGCTAACGGCGAGTTTCGTGCGTACGTGAGGTTCTGTCTGTGCCGTTTCCCGCGGTGTTCTGTGAGGAGGCAGTCGTGTCTGTTCGAGTGTGCTGACTGAATGTGATTTCGCCTTTACTTTGAAGTGCACTAGAGTAAAGGCCTCGATACCTTATAGCAGCTGCAATAGACGCATGGATTATTTTCTTTATAAGCGTGACACTTTTGCTCATCTCTCTCTGTTAGCGCTCATAATGAATATTTATGTTATTGTTAATGAAGATTTTATACAGTATGTACATGCATTTTCATTCCGGTTCAATTCTGCAAGGTGAAAAGGCACAGGTATATGTTATCTTAATGTGATTTGTAAATTAAGGTTATCAGATTCATGTCATAATTTACAGGTGACGGTGTTTAGCATTTATATCCTGTAATTTAAATGTTCAAGAAATTGTTCGAAACTGAATGGATGTAATAGCCATGATGGAATTTTTTTAAACCTGATGAATTGTACAGACATAATTTTAACTGATGATTTGACCCACACAGAAACTGCACAGGTCATGTGTCACCCCAAAATCAGAAGAAACAATTAAGAAATTATACTTTAATTAAAGATCAAGAAGCTTGTATTATTTTAAATTATTAAATCAAATGATTTTGATGATGATTAAGCACAATATCATTCCCAAATGTCATTAAAACAATCAAAAATTTCTGTAATGTGAAAAATAATATATTTAAGACGTGCTTGTACTCGTATGTGTAGTACTTCACTGATGCTGATTTTTTTTTTTTATATATAACATACATTTTTAATGTAATGCCAAAATGCAAAATGCAAAAAAAAAATCTTGATAGTCATAAAAATTTTAATTTTAATTACTTTTTTTTTTCTTTCGATTTTGGAGTGAGATGCCCTGACTTGGACCTGTTGTTGTGATGCTTTTCATTGCATTTTATGTACTGATTGTGGGAAATCAGTACAGAATTTAAATGGGAATTGTGTTAAATTATTATTGAACACTGTGTAAGCATTATCATACAACTCAAAATGTATGTTAAGCCAACATGTAAAGGGCACAGACTCCATTCAGGCCTACTAATGAGTCAAACAGATATGATTTCAAAATTTCTCTTATTACTTGCTTGAATCAAGAAAGTCATAGTACAATTATAGTAGAGTACAAATGCTCTTTTCAAAATAGGATTTGTAAAGTAAAACAGTCATCTAATGCACCTATTACAAAGATATAATTTGTACTGATACATTTATTTCTTAATTTATTTGACATTTTCAACATGAAATGATATGTTCAAAAAGAACTGATGATACAAAGAAGCCACAAATCTGTTTTTAAACAGTTATAACAGCGACAAACTGGACTGAGGATTTCTCATCTTTTTCTCAATACACTTCAATCATCTGTTTTGGTCATTTAGGTCTTCATTTACATCATCCTGTGAAAGCCAGCAAGTTGACAGAGCATACATTTAATTATTCCCTTTAGATAATCACGTGTGTGTTTGTTAAAACATTACCAGATAACGGAGTCAACTATGAACCAGGGATGTGTGAACAGGTGATTCAAAGGTGATAAGTTGATCAGTGCACATTGTCCAACAATGTACAGCCCTCTTCACCCCCGCTTACCGAACTAATGTACAAATCTGCCTGTAAATCACCCTCCTCAGCTTAGCGTATCAGTGAAAGAACACAGTCTGTACGGTGAAGCTTGCCGCAGTCCTTATCAGAATGTCAGAAATACATAGATATATATTAAACTCTACATTTGTAATACTTCTGGGCTAAGTGCTTTTGTTTTCTTTTGTGTTGTTCACCTCGAACTGCTGCAATAACAATGTCTACATCCTGAAATCATGTAAGGGAAGACGGGATATTGATCATCACTTATATTTTTAGAAAAAAAGGCAAAAAGCTAGATGTTTAAAAAACGGAAGTCTGGTGATTATCTCGATATAAACTCAAACATCTCTTGTTCTTACAAATTTTGTTGACTATAGGCCGATAATCCATATTAATTTTATAGCTTTATATTGTATGTCAGCAAAAGACTGTATACGTCAAAGTCAGATATTTTATCATGAACTCAAGTTTTTTGTTTTTTTTTTCTCAAAAACTTACGAAATCAAATGATTTGGGCTATGTAACTCATATTCATTTTATAGCTCTATACTCAAGGTGCGGTTACATTAGCGTCATTCTGGTGAAATTTTGCAGGCAAAAAGCTCACACAGAAGTCACTTTTAAACCAAGGAGCTTTCTGTTGGTCAGTGCTGCGAATCAGCATGATCCACTTCAAACCATTGCAATACTTGCATATAGGGAAACACACAAAATTCCCAATCATGTGGATTCCTATGGACCCTTTTCACATTTCTCAGGTTCTCAGAAGAAGAAGTGGTGAACTACAACAGTATATTTTTTTGCTTTTCCATTTGCCCCAACATCAAAAATCCATGATAGCATTTCTATGTCCTTCCAAAAGAGGAAAAATATAGAGATTGGGTCTTTTCATCAGCCCGTGAAAAGGGTCCATTGAAATGACTGGATTTTCGACTTTGAAAAGTCACAACAGAGGTAAATGTGACTGCACCTTTACAGTACATCTCATTGGCGTGCATTTCACCAAAGAAATTGATACTTCAAACTGAGAAATCCATTAACATAACCTCTCTAAGCAATATAACTGTTCTCTGTGAGAAGACACAATGGGGTGAACTATAGTACAAACTGAAATGCATTGAGATAGCATTGCTGTACAGGTACGTCACAGAAACACCCTCCAATCAAGTAATGACTGTTAACTTGCGCGGAATGTGAGGTATTAGTCATTTCAGGGCTGGAATTAGCTGAAGAAGTTCGCTTGCCCCATGTGACAATAATTTGTGGACAAGCGAGGGTGTGTTTCATTCCTTCCAGGCAATGCAAGCCATAGAGAAAAGCTCAAAGTAAAGCCTCATCACACCATTCCCCGTCCTCCTTTCTCAAACTTGTGTCCATGGTAGTTGTAATTGAATCCCACCGTGTTTCTCCAAGATCAAGTGACAACCAGACGACCGGCTCATCTTTTCTTCTTCACGTTTAAATGACCCGGTCTCCTCACAGTAACTCGATGAGGGAAGCGTGTCAGGCTCAAGATCAACTCTATTTTCCTAACAGCTTTTTGCATTCAGATCTAGAACAAAACACTTGTTTATTTGTAAAGTAACACTATATATTTGAGTGTTTTGCAAGTTAACCCCCTCCATATGCCTCCTATCCTCCCAAGACATTCACAAGACATGCCAGAACAAGCCTTGGAAAAGATCTCACAATAACAGTCAGTTCTTCACAAAACATTCATTGTGACTTGTGAAACCAGTCAACACATCTCGTTTTCAGCGAGACACATGCGAAAGTATGGATTAATAATGATATATAATACTCTTAATGCGACTGATCTTACATGAGGTACCACATAGAAGCAGTTCTGGACACTTTAAGCCAACAAAACCCATGGAAGTGTGGCAGCCACCAGAGCCAGTAAGGTGAAAGTGATCATTAGAATCAGAAGGCAGCAGGAGATGGTGCAAAGCCTCTGTCCATGGCTGCTGTAGTCCTGCTGCAAGCCTGAAGTTGTCTCAATGTCAATAACATCACCCTCTGTCATGGGTCGACCCAACTCACTTATGATGAACACTTCTGAAGCGTCTTTAGGACAGACGAGTCTTCGTCTACATAGTCTACATGAAATTCTCTTTAGACACCTGCAGATACAGCCAAGACCTCCAGTATGAGACCCAACAGGGAATACAGGAGTGCGTATAGATGGTAGCTCCAATGTCTTTCCAATCCTTTTGGCTTCAGCCGTTGAAACTGTGAATCCGTGGAGCTTTGTGATGAATGTCAGGTGTCTGCAGACGGGGCAGATGATATTATCCCGTTTAATGGATCCGTTCAGGCTGGTGTTCACCAGAGTTAGTACTAAGCAGTCATGGCAGAAGTGATGCCCGCAGCTGAGCGCCCTGGCGCTGTCCGAAAGACTCTCGTAACACACCGGACACTCGCTGTCCTGAGCCTCCTCATCCATGTCTCTCCGGTTTTAAATAACTCCATCTGGATCCCCTCGACTGGCTCTGAGATGCTGGACTGCGAGCAGACGCACACTGGCGCAGGTAACTGATACTCCCGTAAGATAACATGCTGGCACCGTGACGACACATGCCAGAAATGTTGAAAAACTAGATCTGTTGTTAACTAGAAAGAAGAAGATAAAACTAGAACCAGTTCAATGTAAACAGTGCAGTTGTGCAGTTTTCAAGTATTATTAGTGTTGTTTGTTTGGTGTGTGTGTGTGTGTGTGTGTGTGTGTGTGTGTATATGCTTTTCCCCTAACATATACATAACATTTCCACATAGCCTGCTATAACAGCTACTACATTCTATAATTTATAGAATTTAATTAACTGTCACCTCAGTGGGACGCCTAAGTTCACTATACAGGTGCATCTCAATAAATTAGAATGTCGTGGAAAAGTTCATTTATTTCAGTAATTCAAC